TATCACACGACCCAATGACAACATTTGCCTCACCTCCCTCATTATCTTTTCTTTTATTATCTTTCTTAGGACAATCTATTTCATCGTCTAATTTTACCACAGTTAAAGCATATTTTACCTTTAGCATTTGCCTTAAACCTACACATGCCATCAATATCAAATAATGACCACAAGTAAAGTATAAACATAATTCACATAGAATGATCAAATAAACTTTCCTGAAGTTACATGCAATTCTAATAATGTAGAAAAATTGACAAATTCACAAAGAATTTAAAGTAAATAATTACTAGGTCTAGCAACGAGCAATGGTTATCCCTTCACCATGACCTCAGACCTAATATCATCCCACACAATGACTTCTAGTGCAAAAAATAAATAATTACCCTACACAATAGTTTTAGCTGCAACAACAAATGGTAAAGAACAAGATACTAAGTGGACCACATCTGAAAGTTTGTAAATATCGAGAGAAGCAAATTCACCACTTTAGGATCATCATTGCTTACCCTAAAGCTTCCAGTAATCATAGCAACAAAAAACGGCATTCAGCACCCGAACGACCAAGGGAAAAATCTTTCAACTTTTACCATATTGCTCAAAACTGAAATTTGACAGTACCGCAAGGTCCGTATCACCACCAGCAGCATTCAGCCTTTTGAGATCATCTCCGAAATCCATACCATGCTCCACCACGCGCCTCGCCGAAATCCCTACGTGTTAACGTTGATGTCGACGCCGAAGATGACGCACCACTCCACTTGAATCGCCTTGGTCTGCACATCACACCAACAGTCACCGTTTCTCCAACCTGTCTGTGGTTTGGCCAAAAAATGTAAAAACAAGTTTGGCCAGAATTTTTCAAAACTAGGCATTTTTAGTCATATTTTCCAGCTTCATTTTAGGGTCGATTCCAATGGTTTTTTCCTCCAAAAATCACAAATTTCTCAACAATGCAAGTTTTGATATCATTTGTCGCGATTTTTTTTTTTTGAGAAATCGTAATTCCGAACTCAAAAAAGCAAAACGAGCACCACTTAACCTTAGCTTGACCCAAAACTTTCCTCCACTTTGGTTGCCAAAAGTTTTACATCCAAAAAGGATGATGGTGGTGGTGATTTATAAGCTATAAAGGCAAGTGAAAAACAAAGAGGTAGCAATGGTAATCACTCAACCAAGAGACAGCTCCTCGCTATGTTTTTCCCTCTTCAAAATGCATATACACCACCCACACGAGTGCAAGAAGAAGAAGCATAATATATAGATACCTAAGGTTATTAGGTTTGGGCTTAACTTTTTCATGTAAATGGGCCAAAGATATATCTCTCTCTCAATAGGCTAAGTTAATGGACCAACAATAATCCAAAACCACATACTAATCAAATCGCCAATTCAACTCCAATTTGGGCCTTCCAAAAGTGTCGTTCGTATTCGAGTTGAGTCAAGTCCATCGTGTCAATAAATTATCCGACAACTGTTTTAAATCATCGCCCGAGTTTATTGGGTATAAAACCTAACATATTCTGTGTTTCATATATAAGATCAGCAAAGTACCCCTTCATGTTTAAGAGTTGCTAATAAGCTTGTATTTCTAGACTCTGTTAGCACTAAATAGATTACTAGTGATATTTGTCCATGCATAAAAATCCTTCGCTTGGTCACAATTGCACATTTTTTTTGGTCATCTAGGAACTTGACTCAAAGTAATCTGGAAAAGAATATTTCATAAGATATGGATAAGAAACTAGCTAGCTTTACCATTGATATCTCTTTACAAATTGCGATTCACAAACAAAATTCACTCATTCTCTACTAGAATATGTGGCTCATATAGAATGAAATGCATATATATTTAAAAAGTAGGCTTGTGCTGAAGTGGAGTGAGCGGAGGGAAATACACCAAATGAAACAAAACAGTATTGTATAGTGGTATTTTTGGATTTTTCCTAATATCTTTTACGAGTTAGGGTTAGTATATACAATGGTGGATTCAAGATGTTTAGTAGGCTAGGACAGCCATTGACCATTGACGGTCTTAATAGTAAGATTGTTTATTATATTTAATTAAATTGTATTAAAAAATTTCAATCAATATATAAATGCACTAAAATGTAAATGTCAAATATATTTAAAAATATAATCCAATACAACCCAAAATAATAAGACACACGATCAAGTTTCAAGTTTTTTATGAACTTAAGTAAGACAAGATGAATTTTATACATAAAATCTGATTTAAACAGTAAAGAAAAACTCCAAGTTTAGGCAAAAGTTATACAAAATTTCGAAAACAATGATTTTTAGAACTAGAACTATTTTTTAGCCCAAAAAATAAAAAATAAAAAATTCAAACTATAAATATTTAAAATAGATCTTCATTAATCTTTTTTTCTCAACAGATCCAGCACGGGAGGCAACATCGTCTCGTCGGGTGCTAGATCAGTCTCTGAGTGTGTGTGTGTGTGTGTGTATTGTAAACCTATTATTTTCGCATTGTAGCGGCTTCGATCATCATATTTACAAATTGATAAATGTTGTCATTGATGGAAAAATTGGAAATACTATGACTTTGTATTTTTCCTAAACTAAGCAACCAACTTTCCAATTAGTATTCGATCTTCTTTCAAAGAAGATTTACTTAGGGTCCGTTTGATTGCAAAAATGAAATTTGGATGGAAAGAAAAAGAATTTCAGTGAATTGAATTATCTAGAAATTGTTTTCTTGAGAATTGTAAATTATTGTGTTTGATTGGTATAATTTTTCAAGTGAAAAATATTGAAATAAATGTATTTTTTTTTGTTCGTTTGGCTTTGTTTTACATGAAAATTGTCAATTAAGGGAATAAAATTTACTGGTATTGGAGATGAAATTTATTTCCAATACCAAAATAAAAAAACAAAAAAAAAGAAATTTTTTTTCAAGAGAATCATCTATCTTTTAGTATTCGTTTAACTTTGTTTTATATAAAATTGTCAATTAAAGGAAAATATTTTTTTACAATAATTCTTAGAATTTGTTTCCATTACACAAAAAAAAAAATAATAAGAAATGAAGTCAATAGTAATCGGGAAAATCAATTCCCACCATCACAAAAGCTAGAAAATTACAACTCCCAAGAAATCCAAGAATTTAATTTCCTTGAAAAATAAAACACTATCGAACAGAAAAAAGTTAGAAATTGACATTCTAATTCCATTTTGCCTAGAAAATTGGTACTGCCTTAATTCTTCCCATAAATATTGAACCCAATAAGTATCCCAATGTTACTTCATATTTCTCGCATAATTTCAAACCCTAAACACGGTTGATCTAATTCAAAACACTCTTTAACATTCGAGTTACCATTTCTCCTCGTCATTGTTTCCTCATCGACATCCTCGTCAACAACAAAAACAGGAAGTAAGAAAGTGCATTGCTGTTTGTATTTTGACGATTTGCATTGTGGCGGAAGTTATTTAAGAAATTGAGAGATGGGAATAATAGGATCTTAGCAATTTGGAGGGGGTGTGGAAGATTAACCCTAGTCTTTTTCCATCAGTCTACATCGACTCCAAACCCCCCAGGATTATCTGATTTTTTTTTTCTTATTTTAATTTTTTAATTAAAAAATTACTTATTGACGACAAGCAAAATGAAAATAAAATTAAACTCCAATTCTAGTAGTTTCCTTTAGCTTGTTAGTTTGAACTTCTTGTTCAACGGTTTTTTAGTTCAAAATATGCATTGCGAAGTTTGCCATAAATTCTTTCAAACGTTACCAAGAACCTGATGTCCTAACCCTACTTTAGCTTTAAAACCCTCCATTGAATGGTTATTCAATTTAACGGATTCAATGCATGAATACTTTGAAATAGTATTTAGAACATACTCCAACGAGTCAAGAACATAGCTTGAAAATAAGTCGAAAGTTATGTTAAAATGAGTGTTAAAAGATAATTTTGGATTATTTATCATCGTCTCATTATGTTGAACTCGTAATATAACGATTTCTTATCCGAAATATGCGAGGAAACTAGCCCCCAAATGAAAAATTACTAGCTTGGCCATTGATCTACATAAGACATAGAATGCCGACACATAGTAGGATAATAAATTTCTTGTTCAAACGAATAGTACTACTACTACTTGGTTGCAACTAAGGTGAAAGTTTAGTGACCGTCAATCATACAAATCTGCTCACTAAGATTGACATGTTAAGTTTGATGTTTATGTCAACTACTTCGACAGACAAATTAACAAAATCCAAATGGAGTGAACCAATAGCTTTTAAATTAAACTTTGCCGGTTTGATTGCTTCAAATTGAATTTTAGTGACTTGATTGCAATTAGGAGAAAAATTAGTAACCTCTTATGTAATTAACCAATATATTTAAACATTTTAGGGTAGGAATTCAATTAACAAGCAAGTTGTGTGGTTCCTACCTAAACAATCTTAAATTAAGTAATCCAATTAACAAATTTTTAATTATAATGTTATTGCTTGACAATAATGCTAATCTCCCTTTAAATGCGAGTAAACAACCAATTTGGTTGGTCCCAACTTGCTTGAAATTTTGCTTGTGAATAGATATGTCAAATCAGTTTTAAAATCATTAAGAATGAATCCCTGTTTGATTCCTTTTAATATATCTTACATTATTTCTAATACTTATTTTCTATCACAAATTCATACGATAAAATATTCTATAGGTAATTCCAACGTTTTCCTCTACTTTTAACAGCACATACTCCAAAAATACTATTCAAAATATAGAGTTTTTACAAATAAAGACCACCAAACCGGGCGAAGTTACTATTTAATTTCTCTAGCTTACACCCCTAATTGTTTTTAGATTGTTTTTTCTCCTTTTTTTTTTTTTTTTTTTTTTCAGATGCATTAATCCATAGAGACTGCAAATGAAAATCCTATGTTTGCAGATTTTCTCCCTTTTATCCCTTTTATTTTATTTCTCCCTTTGATTTTTCTATCTGATTTATTCCACTTTGACATGTTCCCTCTAACTCCCTCTGGCCCCACAGAAAGTTTCCACTTTGTGGGCATCCTTTTTCTCCACATTCCTACCCTTCCCCTTCTTATAGTACATCTTTAAAACTCTGCAATACCCATCTTCTGATTTATTCTCTTCCAATTTTCTTCTCCTTATATGTATGGAAGACCCCGAGAATTCATCTGTAAGCAAGCAAGTTTCTTTAAGAGGAACTGAAGAGAGTGGTTGGACAACTTATTTGGAGGATTTTGCATACAGCCAAAACTCATATTCCATGGACAGTTTTAGCAGTCCTTCTTTGGTTTCTGATGCTGCATGGAATGGCCCTAATAATAATGATCAAGTTATCCAGTGTCCATCTTTCGCTGTCTCTCAATTTCCTAGGAGATTGAAATTCAAGAACACAGATAGTAAGAAATTTTCTTGTGATGATTTGGAGGATACGGCTAGTTCTCCAGTCAACAGCCCCAAGGTAATCAGATGAATTCCACTATATATTATATACAAAACATAGTTAACTATATTAAATGTCTAAATAATTATTGTGAATAGATTAGCAGTTTGAAGCCCAGAAATGTCAATTATAAAAGATCAGAAGGCGGCTCCAATAATTTCTCAATACAAGGAACAGATGAGAGAGACGAAAGGAATTTTGCTGATCGAAGAAGTGGTGAGTATATGGAACAAAAGAAGAGGGAGTTTTGTCTGGTGCCTGTGGCAGTGCTCATGAACCATCTTCGCTGAAAACCCCAGGAAAAAATATGGAGATATGTCGAATCATATTTTGTATATAAGCATGTGGTAGAAGATGAAAAATATTTGTGAACCTATTTTCTTGACTTCATTTTAGTTGTCACAGTTACTTGGATTGTAGTTAATTATGTACAAATTAAGATTCCAATGTAACTTGTTGAATATTTAAATCTTAAGTAATGAAATTCTTAGTTTTACTTTGAGATAAATTTTTGAATGTCTTACGATCATCTCAAATAGTGCTCTTTATTTATTTTCGATATAAAGAGCATTTAGATGAATTTATGAAAATAATTTTTTCTTCCTTTTGTTCATATGGCCCTACTTTTTCAACTTTTTCAACTTTTTTTTTTTTTTTTTTTTTCCTCCCTCTTTTTTTAAATTCTAGGAACAATTGTAAAAGAAAATATCTCTTAAATTGAGTCTTTAGGGTAATTGGCACAAAACGTTCCCACTTTTCATGTTGATTGAAGGAAACGTTCATATCTTTTATTTTTTGATATTTTTGCCCTTATTTCAACGTTTGATTGCACAAAACATCATTTTCCCTATTTTTGAACGTAAAATTACCATTATATTCTCTTATTTAAACAAAAAACCAAGAAAGAAAAGAAAAATAAAGCACAAATTGTAATCATACTTCCAAACGTTTTGAAAAAAAATAAATCGGTCCAATAAATTATAAAAATTAGAAAAATCGTCTCTTTCTTCTCTCATCTCCCTCTTCCTCCACTCCTCCTCCACCACCAAAACTCCACCCTCCGGCCACCTTGGGCACCGGACCGACGTACTACCTTGAAGCTCTCACTTCCCCTCTTCAAAACCCACCCAAACTCCGACCATAATTCCAATCGATTTGTTCGAAAATTGAAGCCAAAATAAGCTACCCAAAAGATATTTAAACAACAAAATAAAAAACCCAACTATGGATAATCAAAAACCCAACCTCCGACCACCCTAGCCGTCGGACCAACATATAACCTTGAAGCCCTCACTGCCCTCCTTACAACTCACCCAACCGCCAGCCCCAATTTCGGTAAATTTGATCAAAAATTTGAACCAAAACCAGATGAACATGCAGCAAAATCTAGTCAGAAAATAGTTTTCGTCGACACCGATGTCATACCCACTCCACAAATCGATCGTTCTCCTTACTACACACCTACAAACGCCATCAGGACATCAAACAAGTCAAAAAATTCAGAGACAGAGAATTTTTCCTCCACAGCGCAGTCAGCCCCCTCCACCACGAATTTCGGCGTCGACAATGTAACTCCCGATAGTGGACCAGAACCACTAGCATCGCCCCACCATGGTGCATCCACCGAACATATGGGTCTTGGCCAATTTCGAACGAACATGGACAGATTGCTTGGAGTTTATTGTTTAAATATATTTTGAGCAGCCTATTTTGGCTTCAATCTTTGGTCAAATAAATTGGAGTTATGATCGGAGCTTGGGTGCGTTTCGAAGAGGGAATTGAAGGCTTCAAGATGGTATGTCAGTTCGGCGCCCAAGGTGGCTAGGGGTGGAATTTTGGTGGTGGAGGAAGAGGGAGAGAAGAGAAGAAAGAGATATATATATATAAAATTTATTTGACTGATTTATATTTTTCAAAACGTTCGGGAGGATTATTGCAATTTGCGCTTTATTTTTCCTTTCTTTTTTGGTTTTTTGTTTTAAATAAGAGGGTATAATAGTTATTTTACGTTCAAAAATAGGGAAAATGATGTTTTGCACAATCAAACGTTGAAATAAGAGTAAAAATGTCAAAAAATGAAATTTAGGGACTTTTTCACAATCAACATGAAACGTAGGAACGTTTTGTGCCAATTACCCTTTGTATTTATCAATCAAAGAGATGACATACAAAGTTGTGATTTAATAAGTAAAAGTTTATAAATATCACATAATAGTGGATTTGTTACTCTACATCAAATTCACCATTAATTTTAAAATCTAGCGGTGTTTACACCAACCTAGTTAGCCCTGTTTGGCATTTTTTAAAATTTTATTAATTATTTACTACAGTATTATTCTCTATTACATATTTGCACAGTAAAATATTCCACACATAAACCAATAAAGTTTTTTTCCTTTTTTACCACATTCTCCAAAAAATATCATTCAGAACTTTTTAACTTTTCAAATAATGGACAACAAAGAAGGGCTGAAACACGTGTTATTATGCCCTTGTTCGAGCTCTATTATTGTCAAAAAATACATTTTTGAATAGTGTATTAATGGAAAATGTGTTGTTAAAAAATTAAATAAAAGTTATGAATTTACGTATAATATTATTTTATTGAAAAATGTGTAATTGAAGTGTTGTCAAATCATTATTCAATAATGTATTTTGAAGAAAAAATGGAGCTCAAACAAGGGCTATATAATAGGTTCAACTAATTGTAAGGATATAGAGCCAACTGAATTGAACATGTCATTTACTTAATATTAAAAATAGTACTAAATAATATTACTCGCAACAAAAGGCAACAAAATAGAAGCAAATGCTCTTAGTGTCACCAAATTACAAAATGTATAGTATGTAATTTTACTTTAGTGAAAAAATGAATTTTCCAACAAGTGCATTGAAGTTATTATGCCATTGTTTGATGAGGATTAAAAATAGATTTTTAGTATATTTTGATCAAAAATTTTAAAATGTGTGGTTGAAAAGTTGTGGGACCCATGAAATATGTGATTAAAATTGCTTATTAAATTAAAATATGATTTAAATCGGTACCAAACAGTAGAAGAAAATAATTAACATATTGAAATTTTATATAAAGCGGTTGATAACAAAATAAGCATGAGTTCTACTATCAAGTTTTATCATTATTAAATCAGTGTTTGATAGGAGTGGAATTTCATGGAAAATGGAATTGGAGTTTCGACTTTTCAATTTTTAGATGTTTGGCAAAAAATTTCAAAGAATTCATTTTCCACATTTTGGTACCACATAGACCTTTTTCCATCTTTTGAAGGAAAATGATTCATTTTTGGTCAAATTCTAAGAATTATTGTAAAAAAAATATTTTCTTTTAATTGACAATTTTCATCTAAAACAAAGTCAAAAGAACACCAAAGATAGATAATTTTTTTGAATTTTTTTTTTGACAATGGAAACAAATTTCATTTTCAATACCAGTAAAATCTATCAATTTAATTGACAATTTTTATATAAAACGAAGTCAAACGAACACCAAAAAATACTTTTATTTCAACATTTTTCACGTGAAAAATTATACCAATCAAACACAATAATTTACAATTCTCAGAAAAATAATTTCTAAACAATTCAATTTCCTGAAATTCGTTTTCTTTCCACTCAAATTTCATATTTACAATCAAATTGACCCTAAATT